ACACACACACACACACACACACACACACACATCTTTGTACTTCCAGCCAACTGAGGACCTTGTATTGACTTCCATTCATGTTTTAAACAGCATTTATACCTAACCCAGACATTTTCCCTAAACCTAACCATTACTAGTGTATTCCCAACTCTAACCTTAACCAACATYATACCTTGAAACCTAACTAGTGAAACGCAGTAGAACTGCAAAAAAGTCTACAGTCACTCTGTAGCAAAACCAAGTACACACAATTTATTTGTATAAGATTTATTCATCTCAAATGAGTACAACCTGTATGATTAGTTTTTACACGAGCTGAATCATCTAAACCTTTTATTAAACATCATCTTAGAAAATACTAAACTTACCAAATTAAAGTCATATTTGAAATAGACAAGCACACTGACCAAACCCTGTATACTAAGTCCAGCTGAAGTATTTCCATTTGAAGCCAAGATCACAATTTGTTTGAACTCATTTATTTGTTTAAGGCTAGCTTTACATCACAGATTACCTTATGCTAGTATATTAGCTTATAGTTTAACTTGTAAATAGCAAAACKTCCTCTGAGTACTGCTAGAAGAATTGTAAATATCCTAAACACTACTATTCCACCATTTGAAAACCACAAAATCAAAAGATTCAGCCCAAGTGAGTGTTTATATGAATTCATGCTGCCTGTGTCAGCAAAAGATCTGGAACATCAGCTGTGAACCATTTAGAAATTAAAATGTGAAATTATAAGCCCATCTACATYACGCCAGAATACTTTTAAAATGATATTTTCTTCRTCCAGGTTTTTAACTAAAACRCCCATTMTGTGCCACTAGATGGCAACAATGTCCGCATCAACAACATTTCTACTGAGGAAATGTGTAAGATCGTTCTAAAAGCTTTTTTCCTGGCTTTGTGGCTGAGCGGTTAGGGGAGTCGCCCTCCAATGAGAGAGCTGGAGGTTCGATTCCACCACTGTTCAGTCCCRTGTCGAAGTGCCTGTGGGCAGGACACTGAACCCAGAGCTGTAGTAAAGTGCTGTGTGTGTGAATGGGTCAATGAGGGCACAGATTGTGTTGTAGAGCTATAAGTATCAATAATAAAGAAGAGATACAGCTGTAGCAATAATGATCTTCATTTAGGCCATAAATTGATCGTGGGAATGAGAGCGATAGGCGTCCATGTGTGTTTTTTGTTTTGTCTTTTTGAAACTTTTTATGTTTGACACCAACACAAATTCACTGAAGATGCAAAACAGCAGAAACTGTGGTTTTAAAATGATGTGAATTCACGTGGATGTATAGCAGCAGGACTTGGGCCGAGCAGATTTGTGCGATTCGCTTCTTTCAGGAAAATCCTTTTTTACAAATCTTGAACTTGTAACTTTTCTCGTTACAACACTAACACCTTGTGCTTGTGTCTGCGTGTGTGCCTCCAGCTCCGTGGCTGAGCAGAAGACCACRGTGAGCATCCTCGACGACATCGGCAGCATGTTCGACGACCTGGCCGACCAGCTGGACGCCATGTTGGAGTAACTGCTCAAAGCCGTCAGCGTGTTTCTGCCGCAGCTCAGCATCACGGCTGAATCAGACGGCACAGTGGGCAGCGTGCCTCCCCGTCCCTCGAMCTCTCGCTCCTTCTCTTCCTCCACCTCTCTCTGACGTGCTCGGCTCATTTTTCAGACCAAACTCGATTCTTGCCTTCTTCCTCTCATCTCCTGTCGCTCATCAAAGAGAGAGAAAAAAAAACAGCAAAAAAACGATGACGGGGCGACGGCGTACGCCTCGGACAGAGACGTGGAAGAGAGAACGAACAAGAACGAAGGATGGATAAAGAGAGAAGCACTTAAAGAGAGATACAAAAAATAAAAACATAATTTATGCGGAAAAAAAGATTTGAAAACACACAAGAAATGTTTGAAAGCGGAGGAGCCTGCAGCCGAAACACGAGTCTTTTAAATGAACTCCCACCCGGACTCCTGAAGTGAACAAATACTAATTCAAATTTAAAAARCCAACTGTGTAATGAATCATAGTATGGTATGTGTACATTCTAAGCATGGAGAGTTTATATCTACTGAAAAAGTCCTGCATTAGCACAGTAATATATGATATATACCGATAAATATGAATCTCTAGCTCTTTGGTTCGATGTCTTGGTTCTGTGTGGAATGGTGACCTCTGGTGTTGTGACGATGTAAATGACTTGGTGGAACATTTTTATCCGTGACCAAATTGAAACTATTCGACTCCTAAAAGGTGTGCACGTCTGCTTGTGTGTCTGTGTGTGTGTGTGAGTGTGTGTAAGAGGGTGAACAGCAGAAACAGTACAGCAGATGTGTTTGTCGACAGGAGGGATGAGATTTCAGCTTCTCGTCTTGGCCGCATCTCCGTCACGTCATCTTCATCCCCTGAAATATGCACACACAGGCCCACCCGCACACGGGAGAAGCACAATGACCCACGCAGCTGGCTTGCACACCAACACACACACACTCAAGAGCCTTCGCAATATGGAATAAACCAGAAGGAGACTGTAGTGAGGGTGCAGCAGGTAAAGTTTGTAAATGTTTTAGTAAAAGATGAAAGGATGTAATTAAATTAAGAGCTCTTTGGGAGCAAAGGTTTAGAATACTAGGAAAGATTTTACTCAGTGTCTCCAAAAAACCCTTGTGAAGGTCAGCACAAAGCAGTCAGAGCTGCAAGTCTAGAAAGAGGGCTTCAAAAACTCTGCTATCTGACAAGGTATAGCAGCAAACTTCAGGTTCCATTATCACACACACACACACACACACACACACACACACACACACACACACACACACACAC